AAGACAGACCCAATTTTCAATGACTTCTCTTCATGACTTCAACTTCTCTTCCAATGTGCAACTTGAGTTTCTCAATCCATATCGCTCTGGCAATCGACAATACTTCTTATTCCAGCTTCTACGATTCTTGAGTATAATTTGTTTGGTACACTAAACAGGAATGGATCTTGATGGGTATTACATTTCCTAGTATCTCCTTTGTTGTAAAGGTAAAAACCACAGTTCTTTCATATCATTTTCTAATGTACTTGTTGCCTATGTACGCTCAAAACTGTGCGAAGCATTTCGGTTTCGCCCTTTCCATTTCTTTGTGCAGAGAGAATAATGCATTCAATATTAAAATTTCCTATTATTTTATGATATGGTACAAATTCCGAACAATTTATTCCGCAATTTCTGCACAACAAAGAGCTGTAGCTAATATAAGATTCCTTAAAAAATCTTTTGCAACTGCACTAAACAGAACTATGAGCTATAACTTTCTCGATATACCTCTCTATATCCTGCTTCAAAGTGAAGATAGTCCCGATGTGCTCCTTCAGCAATAAAAAATAAAGAGGTTTTCACCATAATAAACCTACATCGTCCACTTAATATCATCCAAACTGCAATTGACCCCCTTTTAGCAGCATCTTGAAATATTCTGTTCATCTGTCTACTAAACATTCATTTAGCTATATAATGGATACTGATGTCCTTTTTATCTTTTCCGAGGTTTTGGCACTTCCTTTCTCGTTCGCTTACTGTATTTTTCCAATTTTCTGGTTCAATTTTGCGTTTTTCCTCATTTTGATACCAAAAACAAACAATCAGTTCTGGTTTATAGAAGATCTTATAGTGTCACCCTTTCTATCTTTCTTTGTGCAGAGAGAATAATTTATTCAATATTAAAATTTCATAATTCAATAATTATTATCATTATATCATTTTTACAATTGAGGTCTTCTTAAACGACCTACGTATAGAATAAAGTAGGTTAAATTAAAAAAAAATAATAATAAATTTTTTTTACGATTAAATTATTGCATTAATATTTGTTCGTTAATAAAACCAATATAATGTACCAAAAATGTTATTATATCACTATAACTAAGCCATTTACGAGTACTGAATGGTGTGGTAGAGGCCTGTAGGCACCCACGCCAGTACCGCTTTTTTGCCGCATAAGTACATTTTCTACGGAACTGCTTAAAATTTTTTAAAAAATAATCAGCGTTTTAGAAATAGAAATATATTTTCCGGATGTTTTATTTCATCGTGTTTTGCTTTATTGTAGGCCGTTTAATTACAAACGACGCTTGATTCGTAACTTGAAAATTTTTTTGAAAAGAAAATTGACTTTACTGGTGTTTTTCGTAGCCTAAGCCAATTATTTTTTAATATTTCTTCATGTTTTATTATTCTATGACTATCCAGCTTTAATAAAAGACCAACTATGAGGAAATTTAGTTAAATGCTGATTCTCAGTGACCAAAAAACTAACTAAAGTCAAAGTCGTCAATCCGCCATCTTTGGACGCCATTTTGGGGCAGTGCGTTCACTTTTTTTTGTGGGAACATTGGCTTTTTTTTAATAAATTGTTACAAGGAACACAACGATATGCAATTTATAGGGATGTGGGGGGGGGGTGCACGGTAAGGGGGTCTGGCCCACAAACTATTCTGTTTATTCCATTTTTTCATAAACGTTTCGATCCCTGTTTTTTAACATAAATAATGGGATCCTCTTCAGTTTTTTAATTGAGCATCGTTACTCCAAGCCGTGCAGCACGCCGACAGACCCAACAGTACCGCCACAAGGACATCAAGCTACTCTGCGTGCTGCCCGGCTTGGAGTATCGATGCTCAATTAAAAACTGAAGAGGATTCCATTATTTATGTTAAAAAACAGAGATCGAAACGTTTATGAAGAAATGGAATAAACAGAAGTTGTTTTAAGTCATCTAAGTGTATTTCATGACCTATTATCCGATTATAATACATATCTTAAGTTATAATATATAAAGGTCGAATTATAAAAAAAACATTGCAATATATTTTTTATATATATATATATATATATATATATATGCATATATGCAGGCGGATTTACGTGGAGGGAGCATTCGGGCTAAATCCCCTCCCCCTTCCCAAAAAAATGGAAAATATAACCATTTTTATGTAATTAATACAAAAAATTAAAATAAAAATAATTTTATTGAATTTTTTTTTGTCTACTTTATTCAATAACTGGATTTAAAGTGTTAACACATATTATTAGACAAACGAATAAAACTTATACCATAAACGTTATTATAGCCCTATAACTATGCTATTTATTTGTACTGAGGAAGACAGTAGGCGCCTACAGAAAAACCCCTTTTTTCGCCGATTATGTGCGTTTTTTAAGGAACTGTTTTAAATATTTTAAAAACTAATCACTGATTTAGAAATATAAATGTATTGTCCAGATGTTTTATTTCAAAGCATTTTTCGTTATTTTGGCCATTTATTTACAAACGACGATTGCTTGATATTCAACATTAGTTGGAATGAATTGAATAATTGACTTTACCAGTGCTTTTATTCCCTAAACCATTTTTTAATATTTTTCATATTTTATTATTCTCGAACTATTCAGCTTCAATAAAAAGCCAATTATGACGAAATTAAACCAAACCTGAATCTCAGTGACCGAAAAACTAACTCAAGTCAAAGTTAACTAAATACCAAATCTTGTTACAATTCTCTTTTCTACTTTTCTAGCCTAGGTTTTCCTAGGCATGGTGTCATTTTTTACTTCCATTTACAAGAAAGGTAATATTTCTATTTTGTTAGCCACTGTTCATTATAACAGTTTGAGAATGTTGATTTTAATCTTCAGCTCTAGCCAAGTTCAATAGTATATATATATATATATATATACTATATTACTATACTATATATATATATATATATATATATATATATATATATATATATACTATATTACTATACTCTATATATATATATTACAAATAGGCTCTTTCATTCTAGCACTATGCACTATTTGGATTATGGTCAGTAGTTTTGTTGCCTATGATATAAAAGAGTAACATTATCCATGCAAGCTTTCTTGCATACATATTTTTTTCCTAAATACAGTTATATGATTTCAAATTAATGAATTGTTTAATAATATATTAGCAATTTCTATCAATGAACTTAATGATTTCCATTATAATGAGGACATTATCTTGATAAAAAGCAAAACTTGTTGTATAATATAGTTATCCTGTAAATATACCTACAGCTGATTTTGTAAAACAAATTAAATTGAAACTGTTTCACTTATCAAAGTACATTTAATATCGATTTTACATTCAGCATCGATTTTAGTAGTGTCCATAAATATAATTGAATAATCAATACACTTCTATTTAAATTCTACTAAAAAGATCTTTATAAAAAAAAATCATACTTCTAAATTTTGTATCTTTAGGGTTTGTAGTTTATACTTACGCGTTTTCAAAGGATAAAATAATATATTTTATTTTATTTGGAGAGAAGTTAGATGAGGTGTTCAGTCAATGAAAGAACAATACAATTTTTGACATGCAAAACTTATTGTGATACCAACTCCATTAATAGCTTGGTATATGTTCTTGGATGTAGTTAGAAGTCTGTAGTTTGAACGAACCATTTGAGAAATGATGGAGGATGTATATGACAGGATGACAGGAGTAAGCACTTTTTAAAATATATTCCTCCACTCTCTATGAACGAGTGCTCAACAGGTGAAGTTCAAGGGTCCATTAAATTGATTCAGAACCTGAACTCAAAACAGTACTTCTGATTAACCTTCTGTAAAAGGTGGATAAAGTTTTCTTATCCACTCCCCAATTCATTCCTTATACAACCTTTAACTATTCATCAGCCTCAAATAGATAGACCTTAAAAAGACTTTTCTCAATGTTAGTAAATGTGCCTTGTAAAACATTTTCTTTTAAAATGAGGTTTGGTTCATCGTTACACCCTCTTTTTTTCAGGAATATGCACATTTTTATTTAAAAGTTTAAAAAGCTAAAGCCAGTGTAAGCAATCCATATTTTAACTGGACAAAAATTAACTACCCAAAGAGAAAAAATATGAAATTTCTAGAACATTTTTTCTAAACCAGTATTAGGTTTGATTCAAAATCTTCTGGAAACAGTCCACAAAACTAAACAATGTTCACATGAACTAAATAACCATAATTTTAAATCTTACTTAAATTACATTATTTTACAACACCATTCTATAAATACTATTGATATAACTATTTATGAAAACCTAAGTCCACTCCTGATCAACCAAGGATTTGAAAAAAAAGTTTTAAAGAAATTGTTTTAATAATTACTGGTTACCTCACAAAAGTCATTGCTTTTGAACTAAAAGGCAAATTAGAACTTGAAAAATAAAATCCTTCCATAAAAATGTTTTCAATGAGTCAGGAAAAAAAATAATTGTTTAATATACTACCCTGCTTGTAGTGTTGCCCGAAATCGGTCTTGCACCTTGCACTTTGTACTTTGCAAGACCAAGACCAAGGCTGCCAAACTGTTGCAAGACTAAGACCAGGACTGGTAAAAAAAATCGATTTTTTAAATAAAAATTAAGACAAAACAGTTACTAATACTTGACAATCTTAGTTACTATATGTTACTAATTGACATAACCAATATACTTTTGCATTTAACTCCTCTAATTTGTCATTCGGGCTTAGTTAGGTTTCTTCTATCTAAAAAATTACAATAAATCTCTATAGTAATAAACTAATAAGCAACTGCAAGACTGTTGCGAGACTCTTGCGCAAGACCAAGACCATGACTAAGACTGAGTCTGCAAGACCAAGACTCGCCTCGGTCTTGCATTTGGGCAACATTATCTGCTTGGTAAGAGAGTACTATCTTACAAACAAAAGAAAAGTCACAAATTACTGAATCTCCAATTAGTAAAGCATTTTCCAGGACTAAATATACAGTATCAAAATTAAGAAAACAATTCACTTATAACATCTTTAATAGCATTAAAATAAAGAAGTTTTTCTGATTACAGCAATTTGTAAATTACGAAAATGACAATTGGAGGATACTGTGTTTTACTAGGCAGAGCAGCATAGACATAATATTCACCACAACAAACTTCAGTTTGAAATTAAATTAATTATAAACAGAATTAAAATAGAATGAAATCATGAATAATTTATGTACATAAATATAAAGGTTTTTATATTATTTATTTATAAGTAAATATTACAGAGACTAACAAGTGTCACAAAATCTTCATCTTAGTAGTAATAGCTGCAAGAGGAGCTCTGCTCCACAGCTGCTTCTGAAATAAATTAATATGATCAATTTCTATAAATGAATACAAATAATCATTGGAAAAATACACACATGCACATAAACATAAATTAGATATGCATAACATAGAGGATGTCAAGCATATATCCAGAGGTAGAGTAACACCTCCAAGATGATACCCAAATCATCCCCATGTACAATTTTTGTAGTTTTTGAGACGTATTTTTTTTTTTTGTAGATTTTTTTGTGAAATCAAGACTAACAAAAGATTATTGGTAACAGGAACATGAATAATATAAATATATGCAATATATGATTTTTTCCTTAAGGTTAGGTGAACAGTATACCTTGCAGAGACAAAAGCAATAGTGAGTGGTACCGTTACTAAAATATATATAGTGCTCTTAATATTAATTGCTTTAGCGATTAATATTAACTGTTTAATTAAACGATTAACACCTAATAAACATAACAAGATAAGAAACCAATTTAAACTTTTGGTGAGATAGCCGAGAGTATGATAAAGCGCTAAACCCCACTACGTCTACCATTCCCCACCATCTGTACCGGTTTCTAATATCCAGTCAATCAGCTGCTCTCAATAACTTTGTATCCTAAATGCAACAATATCGTCACCAGAGACGATAAATCTACATTACTTTGCACTACATGCAAATTAATATATCATAAAAAATGTATCAACGTCACTGATACCGATGTATCGCAGCAATTGAAAAAAAAATTGGTTCTGTACGACATGAACAAAACCTCAAAGTAAACAAGGTACAGCAGCCGTGGATATGTCAGAAGAGAGCAACACCTCTATTTTGGCTGAAGTAAAAAAGATCGCCGAGAGCATTAAGGAAGTTAAAGTCTCGCTCGGGAAGCAAAGCGATCTCACTTTTGATAATAAAAGTAATAAAATTAAATAATGAAAGACTTAAAAAAATAGTAGAGCTAACATTAAAACAAGAGAAAATTATAGAAGGTTTAATCAGTGAAAATAAACACTTAAAATGTCAGATAAGTACCCTAGAGGTGAGGATTAACCAAGCCGAACAAGCTCAGCTCTCCGATTCCCTGGAGATACTGGGTATCACACCCAATGCTGGAGAGTCTACCGAGGGCTTGGTGTGCTCTATTGGTGCAACTCTAGGCATAAAGTTGGGTGTTGAAGACCTAGGCTCTGTAGAAAGGAAAAGGACCAGAAAAGAGGATCCCTGACCACCGCCAATCGTCATGCGGTTTGTCTGCCAGACAGTAAGAAGTCATCCGTTTACGCAAGGTCAAGAGCGACTTTTCAACAAGGCATCTGGGCCGGGACAGTGATGAGAGGATTTATCTGGGCGAAGAAATGAGTCCAGGTAATAAACATTTATACTAGATGGCAAGGTAGAAAAGGGTATGCTGAAGTACGTGTGGTTCGCCGGAGAAAAAGTTTGATACAGAAGAAAGAATGGATCTCCTGTCATCATCGTCAATAAAAAGGAAGACTTCGAATAGCTGGAATGAAATATGTCTCACTGTTCCTTCCAACCTCCTTGCTACGAATGCCTTTTATTTTCACTATATTTTTTATACTTATCATTTTTTATTTCTATGGTTCATACTCATTTATCGTACTGCTTTTCAATTATCTTTTTGAAAGATGAAACTTCTTTTATCTACTTTGAACCACATTTTAATTTTTTTTTTTTTGGTCACCCTCGTTTAAAAATGTCAAGTAAGATTTACATCAATATTATATATATCATTTTTTATCACATTTCATTATGTATGTTTAAAAATGTGCCTTCTCCATCAATATTAACACCATTTTGTTACACTCCGCAGGTTATCCATACCTTGATCCCTTCATGACCAATACCTTAATATCCTGTCACGTTAACTCCCAATCCCTTCTAGCGCATTATGACGAATTCCTAAATTATTTTCACCACGTCTTCCATCATACCATTGCCGTTTCTGAAACTTGGCTCAAACCTGATATACCCTCCCTATCTGTTTCCTTACCCAACTATAACCTCTTTCGTCATGATCGAATGGAGCGAACAGGCGGAGGTATGGGATTGTTCGTTCATGACAGTAAAAACTCATGTAAAAACACATGTAAAATCTCCTTCTTCTGACCTCCCAAACATAAAATATCTGTTTGTCCAAGTTTCTTCCTGTACCTTTTTCCTACTCTTCATTGTTATTTACCGCCCTCCTCGTATCCGATTTGATCCCACTTTTGAATCCTCCCTTCCTGCATATATTCCTCTCTTTGAAAATATTATTATTGCAGGTGATCTCAACACCAACATCCTTTCAAATACTCCAGGCAGAACATATCTTATCGACTTATTTTTTCCCTAGACCTATTTATTGTACCCTTTCAACCCACTCATCACACTCAATCCACTGATACTTGGCTAGACTTATTATTATTAAATCCCCTCATAACCTATTATCCTCTAAGCAAATTCCAGTACCCTTCCTTTCATCTCACGATCTTATTGAAATATCATAAGTCTCTACCATTACACCTAAACCTAAACAAATTCCTGGAGAGATCTTGATTCCTTAGCAGCTGAAAACATCAGCCCTTTTCTCGATTCCCTTTCCGCTTCCTTAGAACCCATTTATTCTCTCCACTCCATTGATGACATAGTTGAATGCCTTTCCTCCAACCTCCTCGATTTCCTCAATCGTCACGCACGTCTGAAAACCCATATCTTTAGAAGTCCTCCCGCTCCTTGGATTAATAACGAAATAAGAGAACTAATGAGGAGAAGAGAGGCTGCTAGGAGACGTACTTGATTTCCTCAGCATTATTCTATATTTAAATCTCTACGAAAACACACACAAATGTCCTTACGTCATGCCAAAGCCCAATACTTCAATAACGTTTTATCCCAAGAACCCAACCCTAAATTCAAATGGACAATCCTTAAGAAACTCTCTGTTGTTAGCTCGAAAACCTGCTCACAGTATCCAGTCGATCTGAACAAGCTAAATTCCTTTTTCACTAATCATTTTCCATCCATATTTTCATATGACCGCTCATCTTTTTCCATCCCTGAAAACCTACAAGAGGATATTGACTGCATCACCAGATGGGCAGAAGTAAATTAATTAAAGCTAAATTCAGATAAAACTAAGACAATTCTCATCGGGTCCAGACATCTCATTAGATCCCTTCCTTACTTTCCTTTACTTTACCTCAATAACCGTCCTATCCACTTTTTCCCTACAGCCAAAAACCTAGGAGTAACCTTTGACTAGAACCTGGAATAATCATATCTTCCAGATTACCCGAAAATCCATAACTGTCCTTAAACAACTCCTAAGATTCTGTGATTGTATTCCTCTAAAAACCAGACCGCTCCTTGTAACCTCCTTAATATTCTCCCACTTCGGCCACGGCTTTTTGGTGCATGGAGGACTATCTGCCAGGCTAGAAATGAGACTGAAGAAACTCATGAACTGTTTCGTAAGATACATCTTCGGGATCCCCAGGCGTTCGCATGTATCATTCTGGTACACCGAGGTGAAGTGGCTTTATCCTACTTCCCAACGACAATTCCTCCTTGGTGTTTTCCTTTTCCAAGTCCTCAGAACCAAAAACCCTCCCTACATCCTGGAACTCCTTACTCTACGCTCCTCTATCCACTCTCTTAATACTAGGTCTCAACCTATAGATTTATATATCCCTTCCCATAAAACTACTTCCTTCAGCAAACCCTTTGTCATTCGTGCTACGTCCTTTTGGAACTTCCTTCAAACAACTCCTATTCCACCACCTACTCCACATTCAAACTTCCGCTAATGTAAAATTACTTGTCTCTATATACTATTTAATTTCAACTATTGCACAATTTCAATAACAGTAAGCAGTTAATTAGTTGTATTTTTTATTATTTTAAGCCAGACTAATACCCATAAATTTGTAACATTGTTATTATTCTTAGAGGACTGTAGTCCCAGAATAAAACTATTTTTTCATTCATTCAATAATTCTCACAGTGGATCAGTTGATGTGAAAGGTTGTGTTCCCGACTCGTCCTCAGTATTTGTTTACTTTTCAGCGGAAACTCTCTGATTATTCACTGAATATAGTTCATTTGTACATCAGAGCAGTTCATATTTAATGTTTGATATTATCTTTTTTTCCCTTGTCTTTTTCTTCTCTCATGACATGCGGTATTATCAACAAGTGATGTCCAGTAGTAAGGTGCGCACTAAGGAGACTCGATCAGATGGCTCTACCCCTCGAGGTTCACCAGCAAAACAAAAAAACTCGTCACAGCCTATGAGAAAGACCTCCAATGACCACAGTATACACTTCAGAACCAGAACCACAGCCTCAAACAGATACGTCTTCACAAGAAATGGTTGAAAAATCCCCTTTCATTACTCCAAACTCGTTCCAAGTGCTTCAAAATGACAGAGAAGTAATGGAGTCAGCAGCAATACTCAGGGAACCAAGGCCTCTTCCATATTTGTAAAAGATATAAAAAATTTCCAGTTATTGTGTACATAACTAATGGAAATCTGCTTGGGCAGTTATTCTTGCCTTAGCAGGACCAACAATACAAATATAACATCAGACACTGCTGAAATCTACTGAAAAATTATGAAGTACCTATCCGAAACGAATGTAAATTTTCATACGTACCAGCTGAGGCAGGAGAGAACGTTACGAGTGGTGATAAGAACTTTGCATTCCTCAACCCCAACTGAAGTAATAAAAGAAGAACTAACAACGCTTGGTTTCAAACTATGTCAGGTAAACAATGTTTTGAAGGAGAATAAGGAGCAGACAGAGGTGCGTGAACAAAACAAAATATTACACATATCAGCAGTGCACCAAACTGATACAAGATCCTTTGTGCAGTTTGTGCCCTATGCCTAGAGGGACACCCGGCCAACTACAAAGGCTGCAAAACTTACAAGAATCTCAAATCCAGATACCAGAAGACCCAGACTCAAGATGAGACAACTAGACCAGAGAACTTTCTAGAATAGTGAACAATAATGTATCATTCTCCGAACTACTTGAAGGTAAGAACCCAACCAATAAATGTGAAACCCTGCCGTAACAACAACATCAATATCCTGTTCATATTAACACAACTAACCATCAACAACCTCAAATTCCTCGTCCCTCAAATGCCACAGATCTCAGTTTGTTGTTATCATTCTTCATTGAATTCAAATTAATGGTACCCCACTCATATCACTCCTTACAAATCTCATATCTCACCTCATCCCCCCTCTAAAAAATCCTTAAAAGACTCCCATTAAACACATATATATATTCTCCTTTGGAATGCGAATGGTGTTAGAAATCACATTAACGAACTAACAGCTTTACTATTAGAGACGAACATTGACATAGTCATAATAACAGAAGCTCGAGTGACCAGAAAACAGCTTTTAAAAATTCCACAGTACATAACATACCGTACTGGCCATCCTGACGGTACAGCACATGCCGGTACTGCTATCATTGTACACCAATCCCTCTCTCATCACCTAGCCCCATTACCTACTCATAATTTCCTACAATCAACCACTACAGTAATCAAAACCTTCTCCTTTCCGGTCATCCTTGCATCAGCATATTGCCCTCCTAACAGATGCATATCCAATGTCCAGTTCAGTTCCCTCCTCAAATATCCTTTCAATTCTCTCCTCTATTTCTCTCCTCAAAAATTTTTAAGAAACATAATTTACCTCAATACCTGATAGACCTAATTCATTCCCAAACTCTGTGCCAGAATATTATGGCAATGATCAAGACACCCCTCCGATCCCTGCTCCAATACTTATTACAGTAAAAGATTAAAACAGGAATTGGCCACCTTCAGGTCCCAATCTTTGAACTTCTACCTTAATTTCCTCTCTGTTCACGACAATTCCCTATGGAAGATCACCAAAAAAACCCTGAAATCTCATCATATTTCCCACCCCTTCTGTCAATGCAATGGCTCCTGGGCAGCATCTGATAAAGACAAAGCTGAGGAATTCGCTAGATACCCCTCCAGAACATTCACCTCTCATCCGGAATACAACCTCACCCATACCACAACAGTAGAAGAATTCCTTACATCACCCATTCCACTCTCCTTACCCCCTAAAGCAGTTAATCCTTCTGAGGTCAAACATTACTTACAAAAACTTCTTTCCCGTAAATCTCCTGGATACGACCTCTTTACCTCTCAAATACTCTGACAACTTCCTCCTAAAGCTGTTATATTAGTCACTTATATATATAATATGAGACTTGACTTCTTACAGACCAATTAGCCTACTTCCAATCCTCTCAAAAATCCTTGAAAAGATCCTTCTGAAATGAATCCTACCCTTTATAGAATCCCAAATCTTACTTCCCATGAGTTCGGATTTTGTTCACAACACTCCACAGTCCAACAAGGACTCCGAGTGGTAGATCATACTTCCGCAACGCTGGAAAGCAGGCAATATTTCTCGGATGTATTTCTGGACATAGCTCAAGCTTTCGACCGGGTATGGTATGCCAGGCTTCTTTCCAAGCTGAAAGCCCACTCCTTGTACCTAGTCCTCCGCTCCTACCTCTCTGATCGCACCTTTCAAGTTCACTGCAGTACAGAATTTTCGAACTCCTATCCAGTTGAAGCTGGTGTTCCTCCTCAAGGTAGTGTTTTATATCCTCTTTACCGCTGATATCCCAGTCCATCCCGATACCTTCCTGGCAACATTTGCTGATGACACCGCCATCTTATCATCCAACTCACGATCCCGAAATAGCATCCTTAAATCTGCAAAGACACTTCTCACTGATTGAGCACTGGTGTAATAAATGGTGCATTAAAGTAAACAAATCCAAATGCAAACACATTACCTTCACGCTCCGGTCCAGATCCTGTCCCCCAGTCCATTTTAATTCCATACAACTTCCTTTTTTTCAGACACAGTCCGGTATCTTGGCTTTCTCTTAGACCAAAGACTAACGTGGAACCCACATACTAAACTTAAAAGACAAGAACTTAACAGACCATATGGCCAACTATAGACTACTGACTAGAAAATCTCAACTTTCAATTGACAACAAATTACTGATCTGCAAGGCAACCCTGAAACATATTTGGACCAACAGACTGGAATTTTGGGGGACAGCAAAATTTTCTAACAACGAACGCATCCAATCCTTTCAGTCCAAAGTCCTCCGAACAATAGTCGATGCTCTGTTCTATGTATCCAATAAAACCCAACATCATGACCTTAATATCTCATTTGTCTTAGAACTTATCCCTGAAAATTTTTCTAAATTCCATCAGAACCTTACAAATCATCCAAATCCTCTTGTATAACCTAGCTCAACCTCTATCTAGCTCCACCCATCTCTACAATCCTCCTTGAAGATTGAAGCGGACCTTTTGAAGTATGTATGTTGGAGTTCTGGCAATGGCCGGATTCTCCACCCCAAGACATGAGTGTATGTGGCTAAAGGGCTCTTGCTCAATCTCCACTGGCTATAGCACCAGTGACGCGGTTGAGAGAGTAGCACGGGGATCTCTTGGAGTCCTGCTTTTCCCTCTATAGTTGGAAGGACAAGCCTGGCTTGTGGGTTCCCGGCCTGATGGTATATAGGTATGACTGTTTTTATATTTTTAATTTACTTATCTTTAAGTTATTTTATTTTTTATTGTATATACTTTTTGATTATTATTTAGTTGTTATTTTGCTTTAGATTATTTTATGTTTTTTGTATATATGGTGTGAATATGTTCATATCTTACTATAATTATTGTTCGTGTGACAGATTGTTATATTTCTGAATAAATAAATAAAAAAAATTCTCAATATTCCATTTTTAATATACTTAACAGATAAGTAATTATTGAAAAAAATAAATAAATAACTGTAACAGTTTCAATTCAACATGATAGAAAAAGAATTGTTAGGCAAAACTGCTTATGACCAAAAGAAAGTTTATTTGTGTCCACTTCATTGAAATATGACTCATAAAATCAGCTTTACGTCCTCAGAACAATAGACCGCTGAGGTAATGACTGAGGTAGACTGAGGTATATATTATTGAAAAAAATAAATAAATAACTGTAACAGTTTCAATTCAACATGATAGAAAAAGAATTGTTAGGCAAAACTGCTTATGACCAAAAGAAAGTTTATTTTTGTCCACTTCATTGAAATATGACTCATAAAATCAGCTTTACTACCTCAGTCATTACCTCAGCGGTCTATTGTTCTGAGGACAGTCTTTTCTCTGCCTTGGCGCCCTATAAAATCTTCCTTATAATGTGCTCCAGATTTGTGATGAATTTTAATTTTGCAGACTTTTAACAGCACATCTATTCGGATCAGTGAAAAAATTTTAGAGTGAACTTGCTGTGGTCTGTGGGTGCCGAACGGAAAGCTGATTGGTCAGTTTGAATTACATGACCAATTGAACAGAGAGTACTATTTTGAATTTTTATGAAAATAGAGAAAAGAATGATACAATGCATGAATAATACAATAAAAATGGCATAGTTTAAAAAAAAAAAATGTAGGATTTCTATTGGTCACAAAGGTGGACATTTTAAAAACTTTTTGTAGTAAAACTAAATCATTAATGACTATTATTCAGTTCTCCTTCAAAAGTTTTTTTTTATAAATCAAAGTTTAAGTATGAGGTCGAGATAGCACAATGAAATTTATAAGGCAAACAGTCAGGATAGATTTTTTTTTTAAAGTTTAGAATTTTCACTAACTTCATGATTAAATAATTTTTTATAGCTAAAATTTAAAGTTCCACCAATGATTTATTTTGTGTCTGCAAGCCATATTATTCACCGTAAGTAGAAAAAAATCAAGTTTGTATTTCAATAATCCATTCTTTGACCATTAATCTGTGACCAATGATTCAGAAAATCAAGGTTTGCTCAATGACCCAAACTACAAAAAATTTAAAAATGTTGCACTATCATATTGTAATGAATTATTCAAAATTACCTGTCTAGGATTCAGTATTTTTTCACATTTGAATTTGTCAAATTCCGAGTCTAGATTCCTAGTGCAGGTACGTAGTTTGGAGTTGGAATTCTCAAATGTGTCCTTCGACATTGTAGGTCTCAGAGAACTCTCACTAAATGACATTAACCGGGGCCTTTTACACTGTGAGCTGCAATTCAAGATTATCATTATAATTACTACTAAAATAACTTCATTAAGTAATCTGTGACGTTACATAGAATAAAATTCAGTTGATTTTTAGTTAAACTACTTTTAAATATTAAATAAAAGGAAAATAGGATAAAATTTAAAAAAATGAGTTGTATTTAATAAGAAATTACCTTAACAACATAAAATAATTTTAAAAAAGTATCAATAAATAATCCATCAGCACAACAAAGTTAAATTTTTGATTACCTCTCTCTCTTTCATACAATCTTTAGGACTATTAATTCCATCACTTGAGTGCAATATTTTGTATTCTCCCAAGAATATAGATAAGATAAATAAGTAACATTTTTTCTTTCATTAAAAAACAATAGTCATAAATTTAATACTCATAATAAAATTTCAATAACAATTTTAATATTCATTCATTGATAATCTTTCTGGAAGTACTGGGCCTAGACAAGAGCTATTTATCTTCCTTTGACTTTTACCAACATTCTGAGCAGTTCTAATGAAAGTATAATCAGCTCAGTTGATAACAAAGTTTCTTCAAACAACATTCAGTCGCCATGATTGCTAGAATACAATGCTACTAAAGACAGTTTTGTCAAATTTTTATATATGATTGGGATTTATCTATAACTAGTATTAAATTTCTTCTCTTATGAGTATATTTATTGAATTTTATATTAAATTTTCTTATGAGTAGTTTTCAATGACTCTATAAAAGTATTTTGCAAATCTAAAATTCACAATTCTTATCTCTTTTATTATCCACTATGTCATGCCCATAATACACCTTTATACAATTAATGAATACTTTGAATATGACAACTTACTTTGAATATCAGATATAACAGCTATCTTATTCGTTATCTTTATATTCCTTCCCATAGAACTGCTTTCTTTGAAAAATCCTTTATCATTTGTGCTAACTTGTTTTGAAATTCCTTACCCATTTCCACAAGCAAACCAAAACAAACCAAGAAAATCTATTATTTCATTTAAACAACTTTAAATGGAACCTCTGATCTTACTGTTATTATTCATACTACTTACTAATACTAGAGGAAAAGTACAACAAAGATGTGCAGCTGCTCAACTATGTTGAGTTGCTACAACACTCAACATACTGATAAGTCCTAATAGATAACATTTAATGAGAAAGGACAAAGGATAGAGTTTTGCAGGACTATCATTCAAAGTACTGAATGCTATCCTTTATTTTCTTATTGCTACACTCAATTTTCTCCCTCCTCACGAGTGTCCGTAGAGTTCACAACAAATTGCCCAGAATTAATATATGTGATGGTGCAGGATTCCCAAGTAAAAAATTATTGACTCCGCCATATTCTGCAGATCGCTCCTTTCCACACCAACATAAATAAACATACCACCATTTATTTAATCCATCATTTTATTATTTTTCTTTATTTACTCATGGTTGTCTTTTATTTTAATTCCATTATTTCATAATGCTATAATTTATTATTGTTTTAATGTCATTTAGTGCTAGACAAACATAACAGGTACTGAACATCTCCATTACTCTTGGAGGACCAATGCCCCAGAATAACATTTAACTTTTCTTTCTTCCTTTGACTATTTATGAGTATTTTGATATTAAAACGAAAAAGATTGTTCTTACACCCTCCACTTAGGGCTTGTTGAGCAAAGAATCTATTCCAAGAGCAATCAAACTCTTCTCAATTAAAGAGGCATTCACCTACTTCAGTATGCACTGCATTTGTAGGAGTTGTGCAAAAAAATTCTAATTCTAAACATATCTTTAGATTATTATTTTGTGTTGCCACTCATCAATATTGAATAGAAGACGAGGTGTTAAAAAAGTAAAGGTACTTTAGAGGAAGCCAGTTTGAAAATGTGACATTTAATTGCTTTGATGAGAACAATATTCAAGAGTATACTAGCAAATATTACAGAGTATTTAGTTGTAAATTGATATAACAAGTTTAATAATAATCCTAATAATATGCATTACTGTTGAAAACCTGGATTCAAAATGTTTCAAGAACACATTATTCCCATTTCAAAACATAAAGGTTAGTGAAAGTAAAAATATACAAGAACAGACTAATTACTTTTTAAAAAATCGTTTTTGAGATACTATATCAAATCTTTTTAACTAAATCATTGAGTAAAAAAAATTATACTTACATCGGAGTAGTAAAATCGGAATTATCGGGGCTTTGGAAGAGAGCCCGCTTCAAATAAAGCTGTCCACCTTGTGAGCTTTTTTTTTTGTCATCTCTGAAAACATTAAATTTATTTCAAACAAAATAAATAATAATATTTTATAATTTTAAAATGTATAAATTCAGAATATTCAATTAATGAACTGAATATATCTTCGAGAAAATTTTTCAATCAAGGACACAATAAGAATATGGCTTACAATCGAAGCTTGATTTAAGAAGCTGAAGAATGAATCAGAAATTATTTTAAAGATCTGATCAGTCAATAAAGTATGTATGATATGAAGGCAAAGAGGTCACAATGTATGGGTCATGTAATAAGTGAGGGGTTAGAGGAATGGGCTGGCCGAGCAAGTTGGGACGTGGGTCCCAGAGTGCACGGTTCTAAACGTTGTGGGTTCGTTTCCCACCTGGGTCGGTCACTTTTCATTTCTCGGCGGCCCTGGGAAATGGATCATGACATTCCCACTCTGGCAAGTACGCGGCACCGGGAAATCGATCATGACATTTCCACTCTGGCAAGTACGCGGCACCGAGAAATCGATCATGACATTCCCACTCTGGCAAGTACGCGACGGCAAACTTAAAGGTAGCCGTCAGGGGTTGGCAAAAAGGACCACTATAGGCCCACTTACTGGACTAGTTCCCCACACCCAGTACCAGTACCAATAATAAGTGAAGGGGAGCAAAGCTGCCTATGAGGACTTTGTACAGGAGCAGTTTAGTTGATTGCGGTAATAAACAGCTTTTCATATACTTCAGAAGGCTGTGATAACATCTATTTACAGAAGTTTTTACATCACCTGCTGGTTCATGTCATTATCAACAGTCACTATTAATCCTAAATATTTGAATCTACAAAGTTTTTCAAAGTTATATCTACCAATTTGGATGGTTGGACTAGTCTGACGGCTGTCAGTTGTCATATATTTGGTTTTTTTTTTGTTGACCCCAAGTGCCATCTTCACTGTTGCTGCCTTTAGAGAGCTGTAGGCATCTATCATAGCTGTCAAGGATCTTCCAATAATACATACATCATCAAGCTAAGCTAGTGTTTGCGTGCTTCCTTTATATAAAGTGTCTCTTGTTTGAATACCAGGACCTCTCACTACCCTTTCTACTGAGCCATACAGAAGTACAGACTTTACATTAGTTGTATATAGCCTCAGTTTTGTACATACGGAAATACTCCAGTTTCTTCAAAGGGACTAGAGCTGGATAAACACAGTATGGCATTTCCAAACATGTTCTCTGATATCTCTATCAGTTCCTCCTTTCTCTGAGATGAGGCTACCAATTTAAGGTAAGACTTTAACTTTTTCAATAATTTCCTCATCAGTCTGGAGACTATCCTCAACATTCGGGTTAACCCACATCTCTTTTGTTTTCTTAATCTTTATTGAAGGCCAGCCTATCCTGCATTCCTCTGGAGTTTTTGGATTTTAATCTTTATGTCTGAGAATCTCTGAGACATAATGGAGATATCACTAGGTCTCTGGCTTAGTGTCCACTGGACTCCCGGCTTCTGTCGACTCCCTACTCTCCTCATTACAGCATCCAGCATAATAAGGTTGGGGACAGTATCAACCCAGAATCAGTCTTAATAGGGTCTGACAATGGCAATAAATAGTGACAGTGTAATGGTTTAATAAGCTGGGATAACCCGTGGCAGTGCAACTCCACATGTTTCTGAATGCAACAGACACCCATTGTGGGACATTTTCAAGCATCAATTGGTTTTACTTAGCAAACTAGTCCCAAAAGATTGGGATTATATTAAAAACAAAATGTTAGAAGCTAAAGAAAATTAATGTACTATAAGAATATCCTTCAATAGCTTAATAAGCAGACCAGAATAAAATGAGGAAACATTCTTGACTTTTCATTTGGATTTGAATTCTATCTCACCATTAACTTAATGAAAGAATTAACAACATTTTAATTCACAAAAACATTATTTTTTCAGTATCAGAATTTCAGTTTAAAATATACAAATCTGATAAATTCCATATTTGTAGGTATTAAACAAAACTAATGGTCAATAGATCAAGCTTAAATTATATTAATGATATAATAATGATCATAATTTTTTTCCACAATCATCATAATAAAATATAAATACTGAACAATACCATTACTATATCCTAAATCCTATGAGACATATATTCATAAGTAACACAAGTATTACAGTCAAGTCCAAACAATAGAAATGGAAAGACTACACTGAATAATAAGTTATAAATTAAATTGAATTGGTAATTCAATACTTAAATATTATTATTTTATATATACTACTCATGGTTAACTGCAAAAATGGTGATAATGCTGATAATATCGATATAGAAAGTAATATGTTTGAATGCATAGAGAAGTTTAAGTATCTAGGTTCTACGATAACTAGAAAAAACAAAATTGAAGAAGAGATTAAGGTATGGCTGAAGACGGGAAATGCTTCTTATTTTTCTGTGATAAAACTACTTAAACCACGCCTCATGTCCCGAAACTTAAAAATCAGAATCTATAAATCCATTATCCTATCTACGGTTCTTTATGGATGCGAAACTCTGTTCTTTATGGTTGAAAACTCAGTTTCAAAAATTTGCACAATCACATATTTCATATACAGCTAAGTCAAAATAAAAAATAAAAAGTAGGTAAGGAGAAACTAATGGTTTTTAGTTAAGTTTGCTATATCGCATAAATTTAAATTTTAGTCATTTTTAGCAAAGATTTTTTTAAATTTAAATAAATTGTTACAGATAAATTTTTTAATCATTGAAATCAATTTCTTAATAATGTAAATTTTATACAAAAATAACTTGAAAATGAAACAACAGGCTCAAAACATTGTTTTATGACATAAAAATAAATGGTTGTTAATTGATAAGTATCTCCTTGAAAAAGTTCGATATCATTAGACATGCGTACCCTTGAAAAACACAATCAATGGAAATTACAAAAAAATATATATAATTTTATATAAATATATACAAACATATTATATAAAAACAAAAATATTATATAAATACATATAATAATAAAAAAAATATATATGATATAATTAATTTTAAATAACCTATAAGAAAGCAAAATCAAATATAATAAAAAAAAGTAAAAAAAAAATTTAATAATAATAATTAATGAAAAAGAAAATAACTAATGTAGTTATTTATTAAAAACTATGTTTTACCAAAAATAACTCATGACATACTTAATAATTGAGATTGTCCTAGCTTTGGATAAATCATTAGTCCGCTTACAAAATGTGTTTCTTCTTTTTGCTAAATAAGACAATCTACTTCCAGGTGACTTGGCCCAGCCTGAAATTAAAATATTTAAAAAAATTTTTGAGTACACATCAGGAGGGAAATTATTTAAATCAAATTGAACAAAATACAAGCTAATTTTTATACCATTTCTTTCATTCTCATTTACTATCATTGAAAACATGTCAGTTAAATTCTATTTTTTGAGATAAACTTTATGAATTTGAATTTTATGAAATAAGAAAACATTTTAGTTTTATTTGCTAACAAATAGATTCCTTCCCAAGATAAAAACATATCACTTTGAAACACATTTATTTAACAACATTCAATTATGATTTTCTATTCCAGCTATAATTTTATAGTTATTTTTATAAGGTTTACAAACATAAAACATTATTATCATGCATTATGTAGTAAGACTGTTTTGAGTTCATGACTCAAGCTCAGTGGGTAAGCACTGACTTCCAGAGCACAAGGTCCCAGGTTCTAGTCTGGCTGATGACTTAGTAATTATCATCGGCCGTGGATCGACGCTGGTGCATAAACAGGGGCATAAAGTGGAGTCTTAATTAAATAAATAATTAAGTAGAAACCGGACGGTTGAGCATGATATCATCTCAATCACCCCTCTGCATAACTGTTGGCAAAGTAAGAGTACTTCCCCACATAGTACTGATCCCAAGACCCTTCATGGGTTGTAGTGGTACAGGTTTTTTTTTTTTTTTTTTTTTTTTTTTTTTTTTTTTTTTTTTTATTATATGGTAAGGTAGTAACATTCAGTAGCACAATTGATCACCAGAAGTTTTAACCAAATAAAATCCTTTGCATATTTTATGAGCATCAATCTGATCAAAGACAGAATTTTATAACATTTTTAAAACAATGGACACAAAAAAAGAAACATTTAAGGTTAGATAGTATGGCATCATCAAATGTGTAGTAAAACCGAAGTAGAACAGACACCTAGTCCTGTCATAAATATTGTTACATCGAAATATATACAGATATATATATATATATATATATATATATATATATATATATATATATATATATATATATACACAGAAATATACCCAATGACTTCCAGCTAACAGATTATCATTTAGAGGCTTGACTACAGGTTCCAAAATATCGTACTGATAGTTTTTGGAGCTGTTTTAACTCCAACACAAAAATGGAGCTTTGTGATGACATCAAAGCAAACACCCCACCAAACCATCACTGAGAAAGGGTGATGACCTCTTTCCACTCTTCCGATGACTTCCTGGACTTCTTTAGAGCTCTGTGCGTACACACGATCATTTTGGCAATTAAATTTGTATTCAATTGTAAAAATTTTCTCATCGCTAAACAACATCTTTCAATGAAGACAGACCATTGGTATAACGGCCAAGGAGCACTTTGCATCTATCCACTTATAATATAAATACTGAATAATGTAAATACAATTTTTTTAGGGAAGTGGTTAGCCTTTGTCCTGTCATTCTTCGAAATGCAACGATCCTAAGGCGACTTTTTTATTATGCGAGACATTGATCTGACAGAGATTCCCATTTCCCGAGACATGATTTGTTGTTTTCGAATGGAATTTCTTCTGATTCGAGCAGCCACTGCTCTCACTGCATTTGCTGTTCTCACAGTACAAAAACGGCCCAGTCGAGATCTGTCACATACAGATAGGGTCTCATTATGTCTATTTATAGTGCGGTACACAAACATACAGCTGATACCCAAACGTTTCAAAGTGTTGAAAATCTCTGACCTACATTTTCCAACTTCGTGTAAGACGATCACAACTATTTGGTTCTCTTTGTCACCCCACTCCATGTTAACTAAGCGAATGAAAAATACAAACTAATTGGAATTATTAATATAAGAAAATAACCTAATAGAGGTAAGGATTATCTAAATAATACCCAAAGGTGTAAACAAAGTTTAACTTTTGTAACAGTATTTATGGCAGAACTAGGTATATGAAAGTTTAAGTTAAAAAAGAACATATAATCAAGGCTAAGAAGCAAATTTCTGAACTCATATTTATGAATCCTTAAATACAATTGTGGGGTAAACAAGCTGAATCTAATTTACTTTCTTCTCTTTATAAACATAATTGCTTGCGTACACACACAAAATATATAATAAATTCTTTGGTCAACCTTTATATAGATATTTAGTTGTTAACAAAAATATGAATTTCACTAACCACTCCTTCAGGGTCATTTGGGATTTTCACAATTCTATAAGGCATGGGTAATTTGAAATATATTTGCTTTTCAGGGTCAAAGAACAAGAGCCAATAATAATTTAAGTCTATCTTGAAAAGAAATATAGTGGTTAAATATCAATATTGTCAACTTCTCTTGCATGTGGCAGGTTCTAATTTGACAATTAAAACACTTAATCTCTTATTCAGTTGGTATAAATATGAATAAAATGTCATTCAGGTGCATTTAATGTTGACAAACTAAATTTGTGAATAAGAAAAAAATATATACCAGAATATTGCTCAAAATCGTTGACAGTGAAAACAATTATCAGAACCATTAGAGAACTTTACTTCAGGATACACTGGGCAAGCTGGCTTAAAATATCTCTGACCACACAATCGTAAGGCTTGAATCCTCCATCAAAAAAATGAAAAATATGTGGTGTGATTGAGAATTAAGATAGTTCCAATTTATTGAGTACTGTATTCTGAGTTTATCAAAATCTGAAAAGTACAGATTATATTAAGATGAACAGTAATTATTGTACAGATGACCCCTCTCCCCACAAGCTGGATAACTTATTATTTAATTTGGATAAAAACTTCTTCAAATGACATGAGGAAAATTTGCATTTATCAAATCAAAATCTTGCAGAAAAATAAAAAGTTTATTGTAAATTATAAAAATTAATAGTAATTTCATGTAACGATGGAGTTCCAAAAGTGATAGATTATTCATTCAAATGAAAAATATCAATATAGAAATTGGAGAGTGAAAAAAGTATTTTTATTTTACATATAACAAAATTGAAAATTCCTGTGTAGAATTAGGCTGGTCTCTAATCGGACACCTCTTCAGATGATGGATCAGGAAAAGCTCATCAGATATGGCGAGAACTGGGGAAATAAAATGACCAGGGCAGACAAAAACCAGTTGGGGAAGGAAGGGGAATCTCTAAGCCATGGAGAAGACAGCCTCCCTGCATGAGAAGCCTAAAATAAAATCTTCAAGCGCTCCAGATCGGAGATTTAGGTGTTGGGCTCATAACTCAATCCCCCCAAAAAATTCAGCCTACTGTGAAACCTCAACAAAGAAAAGCCACAGTGATCTTACAGTTACAATATAATGCACATCTGAAAGATATTCTATTAGGATCATTGATTGTGATGTCTCTTAATCGAACTGGAGCATTACAGCTACTCCTAAGCCAACTGAACACTTATCGGATTAATATAGCTGCTATCCAGGAAATTCGATGACTTGGAAATAAAATGATAAGGAGGAGTAACCACACCATACATTATAGCTGCAAAGAGAGGCATCACACATCACCAATCGATTCCCAGATTGTGCTATCTAAGACTAAGAGGCCAATTTTACAACTATAGCCTTCTGAGTGTACATTCCCCTACTGAAGTTTCTGAGGTAGAAGAAAAAGATCCAGTTTACAGCACAATAGAATAATGCCTTGACTGATGCCCATGCTATAATATAAAAGTAGTAATTGGAAATTCCAATGCAGAATTCGGGAAAGAATCCGTCTATAGTACTATAGGAAAGCAGAGGCTCCAGGATGAGACTAACAAGAATAGGAGGAGGCTTATAAGCCTGGCAGTATCTAGGGGATTGGTCGTTGGTAGCACATTGTTTCCCCATAAAAGCATACAAGCTTGCCACTTGGAGATCTAATGATGGGACTACTACTAGCCAAATAAAGCACGTACGAGGGTGGTCTGAAAATTTTGCGATCACAACAACGTGAAGATGGCAGCACTCATATATAAAAGAAAGTGAATTTCATTGTTCATCTATTGAGTTACCCACCAAAGTTTCAGACATTTTGGACTCGCAGTTTTTATGTAACAATCGTTTGGGTGAGTTGATGTGTGTTTTTGTTATCGAGTATTGAGCTATCATTAAATATTTGTTTTTAAAAGGCAATATGCCACAAATCAAAGATGAGTTGGATTCTGTGTATGGCGACTCTGCACCATCATTTACCACAGTGAAATTTTGGGCAGCTGAATTCAAACGTGGTCGTAAAAGCTTGGAAGATGAACGAGACGTCCAAAAACTGCAACTACTAACGAAAACATCGCTAAAATTCACCAACTGGTACTAGACAACCGCCGAATTAAAGTAAGAGAGATAGCAGAGGTTATGAACATGTCAAAAGAACGTGTTTGTTACGTATTAAATCAATATTTAGATATGAGAAAGCTGTCACTACATTGGGTGCCACGTTTGCTCACATTAGACAAAAAATGTGTTCGAATGAACATTTCCAACGCTCTGTTGGCGCAGTTTAGACGCAATAAATCTAAGTTTTGGCACCAATTAATTACTGTAGATGAAACTGGGATACACTATTACATGCCCGAAACAAAAATACAGTCCAAATAGTGGACTGCAAAGGGGGAACCAGCTCCAAAAAAAGCAAAAACTGTTTTATCGGCTGGGAAAGTGATAGCAACTGTTTTTTGGAATAGTCATGGAGTTATTTTAATCGACTACCTTCAAAAAGGAAAAATCATAACACGAGCAAACTACGCATCATTACTTGACAAGCAGAAGGCAGAATTTGCGGAAAAACAGCCACATTTGCAGAAAAAGAAAATCCTGTTTCACCAATACAACACACCGTCTCACACCTCAGCTATTGCCATGGCGAAAATCCACGAATTATGGTTTGAACTGCTTGATCATCCGCCTTACTCACCAGAACTAGCCCCAAGCGACTTGTTTTTGTTCCCTTATCTAAAAATTGCGCTCGGACAACAGAGATTTTCATCAAATGAAGAAGCAATCACCTTCGTGAACAACTATTTTGCAGAGAAAAATGACGAATACTTTTTGGACGAGTTACAGAGATGGGAGCACCACTGGGAGAAGTGGGTAGAGTTACAAGGAGACTATATTGAAAAATAAAAATAAAAAATCAGAAAAAAATGTCTTCTATTTTTGTAAGGTCAGAAACTTGTCAGATCACCCTCGTACTCACTCAGCATAAGGCATGCATCAGACCTTTCAAATGTTAGAACTTATAGAGGAGCCAACATGGATTCATACCATTATCTCATGGCAAAAAAAAAAAAGCAAGGCTGTCAATGATTCAATACCAGAGGAGCGCACGATGATAAAAATTCAATGTTGAGCAACTTAAGGACTCTGATATTCGGACCTGATAAGCTGATGTTATGGATGACAAATTTTGTCAGATTATCACGGTTGAGGACACGGAACAGGATTAGGATATTTGCAATTCCAGATTGAAGGTGGTAACCAGCAAAGTACTAGTAGCCCTGGAGCCAGGGCCCAAAATTCGACCTGATTGCAGGCAAAGGTTTGATTGTAAATTACGAAAGCGTATGTTATTCTGAGTAAAAAAAACCTTGTCTGCCGTTCCGGAGCCGCTGCTTTCAAAAATGGCGGCTGATTTAAAGAATATTAGGCCAATAATATGAGGATCGAAACGGAAAATCCATTACGAAAAATGTGAGAAAAGTTTCTATTTTTTTAACTTGTATATATGGGTTTAGACATGTAAAAAACAAAATTGCTAACGCAGGCCACCAAGGGAAAACTTTTTACAACCAAAAAAGTCAGATTTTTTCGATATTTTTTGTTGTTTTTCATCTATAACTCCTAAACAATGCATCAAAGCGAAAAATGTGTTCTTTAATAAATTAAAGAACGTTAAATTTTGAGTCAAACGAGTACATAAATTTTAAAATTTGGTTTCGCAGTAAGGTATAAAACCACGGTCAACCAACGTTGAGTTTTACCAAATTTGTCAAAAACTGAGACAAATTACTATAAATGGCCCTGTAACTTGGAAATGAGTTCCCTAAGAGGAAAAACCCAAAGAATCAAAGCTATAGAGCATCAAATTTCGCGCGGAGCTGATGGGCTAAAATAATTTCTCTGTAATAATAAATGCATAAAGTAATATAGCTCTGTAATAACAAATGTTGGACAGTGACTAGATCCCAGGAACAAACCATAATAACATATTGGAATAACTTATTTTACATTATTCAGATTTGACCTTTATTCTTTGAGGCAAATAAATAAATGTGAAACTTATTTTATTACAATTCCATATAATCAAGAAAACACATTTAGAGACATTTAAAAATTATCTCTTATTTTATTATTTTAGTTTTGTTTATTTGTAAAAATAACAATTATATCAACCCTCTTCTCAATTTTTAATACTTATTGTCAAGTAATTATATAAAAATAAAACTATTAGACTAAAAACTAAAATTTCCAGAAAGGTGTTTATTTTAGATGTTATCAAGCATAATTTCTGATTTTTACCAGAGCCTAAAAATTCACAAGTAGAATTCCCAATTTTCAAGGAATTCAACACACTGTACTTAAAAACTTTTATATACAGAGATTCGGCTGCATTTTTATATCATTAGTTGTATTTTTTTAAATATATTTCTATGTATGTTTACTATTACATCAATTCTATGTATATTTTTATATTGTTATGTTTCTTCTAAACTCCCTCCGCATCTATCCAAGAGAGTCATTAACAGTGCTTAACACATTAAAGAAGTTTTGCTCTTCTCTTAACTAACTTCTTGAAAGATGTTTTAACATAAAGAAATAAAAAAATAACAAAAAGGTAAACAATAATTCAGTAATAAAAAAATATAATAAATCCACAAAATATTCACCATTTCGCTTCTGTCTTTTCTTAGCTGAATTTGTAAGAACTTCATGCATAACAAAACTACTAGAAGTTTCTGAAGATATACGTCTTTCTGCTATCTTCATTCTAAGTGCTTCGACCTCTTCACAATTGTGGTTTAAACTAGAAAAGGATATTAAGATAAATACAATAGTAAGCAAGAAAATGGCAGTGTTAGACATGCAATATTTATATATTAAAGAAAGAAAAACACAATCATAAAAAAAAAATCTTTCATGTAAAATCAGTGTAACTTCCTCAGATTCAATTATTTATTCGTAGGTTTAAAAAGGTCTATTTCCAACTGTAGATCACAAATGTACATGGTTTCAAAACTTGCTAGCTTAAGCTAATGGATAATAAAGCAAAATATGTTGGCAAATATGAAAGAGAATACAGTGGATAAAATTGATAAAATTAATACATCATCACTTTTCCACCAATTCCCAACTTTTTTCCACCTTTTAAATTGGACGAGGAGTTTCTGAAATATAGACATGTCTTAGAAAATATATTTCTGTGAGCGTATTTTCAATTCAGAGCAATCAATTTTTTTTAACCTCCTGCATGAATATAAAGTGCCTCTAGCTTTGTTAGTGAGGAATCAATTGATCATGTAAACAGCACTCAATAAAATACTAAACATCAAATTTGAAATTTAAAATTGAAGATTAGAACATTAATAGATTGTTTAATTACTTTGGCTTATAGTGATTTTCGGATTCCTTAGGGCAAAAAAAAATGTTGAACAGTAACAATTATAATACTAATTACTGTTCTACTAACAAATTCACTTATACAAGCAAGAAAATTTATAAAAATTATTATAAATCATACCACAATAACCATTTGCAGTAAAATCAATAACAAAACCGAATAACATATTAATACTCACTAAATATCAAATTCTTTTTGTGCATTAGTGGTAGAAGTCCATGAACCTGAAAAAAACAAAATCAATATTTTGAATACCTGATGTCAAAAATATATACATCACTTCACAATGAGAAATAAAAGAAAAAAAAAATTCACCATCCCACCAAAGATGCTTATTAGAATACCAAGACGATAACATTGTTGACATGTCAATAGCAGGGTTGGTCATTTCTGGAGGAGGAGGTATGCCTCCCATTAATGCTTTTAAACGAGAAACTTCAACAGATTCTTTGTATACAGGTGTCTTAGGAGAGGATGACACCACTACATCATCTGACTCATCAGCTGAAATTGAAAATTTAGTTAAATAACAAGAACAAAAAACTTTAATTAATAAATTAAGGACAAAATGCTTATTTATAACAAAAAATAACTCAAGCCATAAAATTTAATATTTCTTTACTTTAGAATTCTAAAAATATTTCTGGACCTTAGAGGTTAACTGCAATATGTTGACTGGGAGCTGTTTAACAGAAGTTACTTTAAAGCAGTCAGCTTATTAATAAGCCAGCACACTTTAGCAATGTATAATGTACAAAATAGTTTAATAACCTGGCTGAATGAAATGAAATAGATTTCAACATTTTAACTGGTCAGCTGAAGTTGATTGAAATAAAATTGTGAAGTTTATCTTGAAGTCCAGATTTACTTTATTAATTGAAACAGACAAAAATAAAGTAGCTCACATCATATTACATGATAAATTAGTAAATGCAAAAACTGAGAACATACCGAAAATATCCTGATCAGACAGATAACCTTCCATTTCCCTAATTTAAAAAAAAAAAACTATAGGTAGTAAGAATATCAACACTTCAATGAAATGTTGATCAATAGATCGGGAGAGCCATATCTGATAAAGAAATAATTGAAAACAAGTATCTTGAAACAAAGTACTGCCAATCAAACACTCGATCACATTTGACGGGGTCAATCTTCAACTACCATTTTTGAATGTTGGCTCCCCAATTCGATTGTTGGTATCGTTTGTATATGAAGTCTACAATCGATTTTTAAAAAACTTAATTTCGGAGGATTCAATGGATTTTATTAAGCATTGAGTATTATAATATTTATTATAGTCATTAAAGAGTTTCAATGAAATTTCATAAATAGACAATTCATATTTCCTCCATAGACATACAAAACCACTGTAAGAGTTAGGCAAGAAACATGACCAATATAAAAGTTAAGGGCCCCTTACACGGTCAATATTATTGAGTCAATATATTAAGTTTTGTCAACATTATTGAAACAGTATCAATAAAATTGCACGTGTAAGGGCTATATTGATCAATATTAAACCATATATACGGATATTGAGAAGCTCTGGGTGAGACCAAATTTTCGGTGCCCCTCCTGGCAATATGTTTAAGTAGGTTGATGATACTTTGTCTTACTTTTTGGGGGATTACCCCCTCCCCTCAAATATGAAAGGGCAATATGTTTGGATAGGTGGATGATGCTTTTGTAATATTTTCGTCTTTAAAAAAGTTATATGAAAATCGAAAGTTACAACAATAAATAATCCTCACCTTTCTATTCAATGAATTGAACACATGTTTGATAATAAAAAATGAAATACATTCATTCTTTATGATTACAATTTAAACTAACAACTTTAATCAAGATAAGTAATTAAACTTACACTAGCCTAAACTAAACTATTCATACTTAACAATGAATAACTTACTGACTAATCTAAAAACTTATAAACTAATAAAACAAATATAATAGCCCATTACTATGTACACAACACTGCTAGTAGTCTTTATCTGCAATTTAGAGAGAGAGAGAGAGAGAGAGAGAGAGAGGGTGAGGGAACGAACAAGAGCTATGGTACCAATAGTATTGGTACTGGTACTATGGGGGGAAATAGTTCGGTAGTTGGGCCTATAGTGGTCCTTTTTGCCTGGTACCAATAGTAATTTCTCTCTTTTTTTAACAAAAATAGTTCGTCTATCCAGACAGATCTCAAAACACTATCTGACTCTTTCTCTCTCTTACCACTGCCTTATGCGTATGCATTGGACAGATAAATTTACTCTTTTTGGTCCACTACACATACTCCTCCTTTTTGAAAAGTTGAGTTACTCGAAACTTCACTTTCATTCTTCAATTCCAACCTGAATACCTGGTTGGGTCGTCGACCTCGTATTCATCTTCCCTTTCAGTCGACTATTCTGTGGATTCCATATTTTCATTTGGTATCTCCGTGTGCTCTTGGTTGTCTATTCCGCTCGCTACCTGCTGGGTGGAAATCCAATTCGCTCTCCGAAGAAACGAGCCTGTGCATATCGTGGTTATAATGAGCAGTGAGTATTATTCCCTTATTCTCTTTCTCCGGAGCTGGTTTAAGCCTATTGAAGTGTATTTTATACCTTCTCCCGTTCTGTAGCATTAGGGTATAAGTCCACGGTGAAACTCTTTTAACAACCTTGTGTGGCCCTGGCCATGGATACATAAATTTCCTAGACTACCCTCGATTTGAAACTGGTTCAAATAAATAAACTAATTCTCCTTTATGATACTCACGCATCGTCTTTCTGAAATTATAGTTTCGAGTACAAGTTTTCCTAACCTCCATCGCCAATTCGTTCGCTTTTTTATGAATGTTCGAAAGCCTATTTTTCTGTGCCGAAACGTGTTCCTTTTATTTCTGCTAGTAGCTGGTCAATTAGCCGTTGAAAAGTCGCCGGTGCACTAACTAGACAAAAAGGCATCTTTTTTGTTTCGAAATGTCCCCTCTTCAGTTATAAATGCAGTATTTTCCTGATCTTCCGTCCATATTGGAATCTGATGATACACACTTGCTAAATCCAATGTAGTGTATAATCGACTTCGCCCTATACGTTCTAGTCTCAACAATCAATAGAAGGGGTACGTATCTGTTTTTGTAATTTGGTTCAGACCATGAAAGTACAAAACCTATACATAGGGGCAGACGATCCATCTGCTTTCTTTTTTACCTGGGCTACAGGCGCTGACCATGGGCTCTCAGAAGGGCATATAATGTCTTTCTCTAATACAATGTTCCCTGCCACTATAGGTCGTTGTTAAAAAGGGATACGGTAAGGTCGTTTCAGGACTTGCTCTTCTTCCGATGACAATGACAATGGGCTGAGATTAATAGACTTTGCTACAGAAAATGGCTTAAGGATAATGGATATGCATTTTAAGCACAAGGAAATCTACAAAGAAACCTGGATATCAGCAGATGGTAACACTAAAAACCAAATAGACCACGTACTGGTACACAAAAGACATGCATCCAGCGTTGAAGATGTACGTACTTATAGAGGTGCTGACTGTGACTGTGAGATGCTGACTTGTAAAATCTTCCTTCAAATATAAAATATCCCTGCTACCTTGAACAATGGTTGGAACGCTACAGGGCTTTAATGTGAGTAAACTGAAGGATGAGGAATATATTAAAAGATTTACACAGAAAATAATCGACAAACTAATAGATGCTTCTAACCATTTAAATAGCAATGATATTGACACTAGGTGGAATGCTATCAAAACCAGATTAGGAAAAGCAGCAGATGAAGTATTAGGAAAGAGAAATAAAGAGAAGAAGTGTGGTTGTTTTGATGTGGAATTCCATCAAGCCCTGACAGTAAAGAAAGAGGTGCTAATGAAAATGCTATAAAGACTGACTAGAGCAAGCCGAGATGAGTACTCTGCCAGGAGAAGGAATGCCAAAAATTCTTCCATCAGAAAAAAAGAACGTGGCTAAATATGCAGTTAGAGGAGCTCCAGAATGATCACAGCTCAAAAAACACAAGGAAGTTTTATAAAGGGCATTAAGGAAATAAAAAGAGGCTTCCAACCAGATATCTCATACTGCAAGACAAAAGAAGGGACCATAATAGGTGAGCCTGCTAAAATATTGCAAAGATGGTCTGAATATTTCAGGGAAATTCTTACAGAACCCAAGCACCAAGATGGAGAGGAAAGAATCAAGCTGCTGAAATGCCGACTGGGTGTAACTGGAGGAGATGAGGAAGTAGAGCCGCCTGAACAGGATGAAGTTGAGGAAATCATTGGCGAATTAAGGAACAATAAGGCTCCTGGTATTGATGGCATACATTCAGACATGCTCAAAAATGGAGGGGATGATTTAAAAAGATATATATTCCAATTGGTGTGGGATGTTTGGTTTGAAGAGAGAATGCCTCAAGAGCGGAAAATGGCAGCGATATGCCCCATTCATAAAAAAGGCGACAAACTATCTTGTGGTAATTATCGAGGGATAGCACTGCTGAATACAGCCTACAAGGTATTTTCTGTATTATCGAACCGACGGCTGATAAAGTTTTCAGAACAAATATTGAGCCACTATCAGTGTGGTTTTAGGCCTGGAAGATCAACCATCGATCAAATATTCTCATTGAGACAAATTCTTGAAAGGGGATATGAATTTCACGTTGACCTCCATAATTTGTTTATCGATTTTAAGCAGGCATACGACAGCGTTGATAGAGAAGAATTACTGAAGATAATGCTTGAATTGAGAATTCCCGGGAAGCTCACTAGGCTAGCAAAAATTACAATACACGACAGCAGAATGAAGGTAAAAATGCAGGGAATGCTAAAAGAAGAATTTGCAGTAAATAGTGGACTGAGGCAGGGAGACCCACCTGTCCTTTTCAATTTGGCCCTGGAAAAAGCTATTAGGTCTAGCAGCTGAGTTAAAAAGTTTTGTATAAACTTATTAAAGTAACTGTTAGGGGCATTGTGATCTCCAGCAATTATAGGGTTAAATTTCCGATATGCGGTTTTCGACGGATCTATACGTTACAGAGCCCGCTGAGTCCGAAAAACAAATTTTTAGCCATTGGTCTGTCTGTCTGTCTGTCTTTCTGTACCAAGATTTTCTCAGGAGCTACTGAACCGATTTTGTTGCTTCTTTTTTTATTTTGTAGGGTTTTGACTACTGATGACTGTGACAGAAATTCGGTGCTCCATGCGCAATAGCTTGCGCGCAATAAATGAAAAACACGTTTTTCTGTAGAATGTAGCATAAAAATGGCACTATTTTGATGAAACATTCCTATAATGTTCTAATGATTTATCTTTCAATTTTCGTATATGTACTAAATTCCCGAGAAAATACAGGAAAAAAAGTTATAAAGAAAAGAAAAAAGTTATAAAGAAAAGAAAAATGTTATGGGGCCTACCTCCCTAAATATATATTATACGGTACAATTAATAATAAAACTTTTGAACAGTAATTAAATTACGAACAAAACAAAAAAAAAAAAAATCATCGGAATCGAACCAGTATTAGCGATGATACAGCTTATTCTATTTTTTACACATTTTTTAACGTATTACTTTCCTATCTATACTAGGTAAGGAAAGTATTGCAATCGGGTGGTTAGGGGTGGGGGTAAAGATATAAAAACTTTTCTGAAATAGGTAGGAAAGTCGTGTGAGTGGACACACCAGATGTTTTAGTCCTCATTTGACAAGCAGGAGAGGGGCACCATCATCAGTTGGGTGATTACCATTTTATTGATTAATTTATTAAGATTTGATTTTAAATTTGGTTTTTTATTATTTACAAAAGTTTTTATTGTTGTTGTTAATTTTATTAGTGCTCTCGATCTATCTATGCTGGCTTTAGTACCAGTGATGCGGTTGAGAGAGTAGCGCAGGGTTCTCTTGGAGTTCCCTCCAGATCCCCTGATTGTAAATATTGTATATAGGTATGCATGTGTTTTTTGCTTAGTTTTATTTTTTATTTTTAGGTGATTTTATTTTATTTATTGCATATACTTTTTGATTATTATGTATTGTTATTTTGGTTCTATTTATTTTATATTTTTTGTACATGTAGTGTGAATGTTATCCTACCTCACTATAACTAATGTCTGAGTGACAGATTGTTGTAATACCCCCCCAAAAAAATGTATTATTTTATCTTGCCTGATGAAGGTTTGATAAAAGACCGA